ATGGCTAAAATTTTAAATAGTGAAAACACCATATACTTTAGTTGTCTGTTTTATAGTTTTCTTTTTGAATGTGTTCTATGCACTGTTTATTTGATTATATTTTATTAGTATCCTTATATATTTTACAAATATTTATAATATATAACATTTCATAATAAAATCAAAAGAAATAATCTTGTTCAGTTTTTGGAGGACAGATTTTTCCTTTTGGAGTTATTAATTCCTCCTTTCTTCTCCAATTCTTTATTGGTTTACTCTGTAAGTTTAACACTCTTTAAATTTTATTTTCTCATTATTCTTTTGTGTCCTTTATAGTTTACTTTTCCCCAAGAAGATTTATCAGCAAAAGCCCATTAGCAGCTGATATCCTTGTTCTTTGGTCTTTGTAACTTAATTTTATATTTATCACTGTTTTTTTTTTCATTTAAAACATCTAAATTCAATTTTTCTAGTTAATCTTAATACTTTGGAGAATATTTTCTAGAGAATATTGCAGGAAAGGTGACTGACTAATTTTCTGAAAATGTATTACCACCAGATGCCTTTCAGGTCTTAGAAAAATGATAGTCTTATGGTTGGAGTGTGTACAAGTTTGTTTTAGAGCTTAAACTGTGCAGCTGTTTAATCCAGCCAGACCCTGCTTAGCAGAAAAACCAAATGGTGGGCTCACAAAGGGAAAGACTTAGTTTTTAAGAAGCTAAGTCCTCTCCTCATATCATCCAGTCATAATTTGCTCAGAGCCAGGTTTCCTCTATATCCTAGTAGGAGAACAGAGACTGTCTATAGCAGTACTGTCAAATAGAGCTGTGATGCTAGAAATGACCTCTGTCTGTACTGTCCAAGACAGTAGCCACTAGCATGTGTGACTATTGAGCACTTGAATTGTGGTAAGTATAAATGAGGAACTGAATGTTATTTTGATTTTAATCAAATTAAATAGCATCTTATAGCTCATAGCCAGCATATTGGACCATGCAGATCCTGAGGACTAGATAGGTCAAGAGCTTTGGAGTTGTATAGATCTGGACTCAAATCGAGGGATGTTATTTCCCAGCTTTGTGACCTCAAGCTGGTTATTTAACTTCTGAGTTTCAATTTTTTTTTTAAACTAGCAGGACTAAAATTAATACCAGCCTATAAGTTTTCATAAGAATGATAGGAAATCTGGTATACGCTTAGTACACAGTAGATGCTCAATAAATGATAGCTCTTAATATTATTATCTTTACTTGCTTTTATTTTGACCTTTGACATTAATCCTCTGAACTTGTATTTTTCTGATAATCCCAAGCAATAATTGTTCTATAAGATTAGGTATTTCATAACCTTCCTTGTAAGAGGACCCTATCCTGAAGACTGGTGTTAAGAAGTGACCATGGCCTCAAAGGCACATGTACAGGGAGGTAGAATGAAAACATAATACTTAATAGAATTGAGTTTCAAAGACCAGGCTTAGATAAGGGAACAAGAGGTCCCACACTTTGTAGGAGGTTGGCCTTAGGTTAGAAAAAGTTCCAGGAAGGAGGGCAGGGAGAGGGACAGTGAGGTTCAGCTGGATTTTAAGACTTAATGAACAAAATGTGAATAAATGAAGAAAGGGAAGAAAGCATTCTTGAAGAAAAGGAATCAGTACAGTCATAGAATGGTCTTTATGGGACAGTGAAAAAGAACATCTGTCTATATATCGATAAATAGTTTTAAAAAATACAGCTAGAAAAGTGGGCAAGATCATGGGGACATTAAATACCCTGCTGTAAAGTTTCAGAATCAGTATCAGTTGAGTCGTTCAGTCGTGTCCGACTCTTTGCAACCCCATGAACTGTAGCACGCCAGGCCTCCCTGTCCATCACCAAATCCTGGAGTTTACCCAAACTCATGTCAATTGAGTCAGTGATGCCATTCAACCATCTCATCCTCTGTCGTCCCCTTCTCCTCCTGCCTTCAATCTTTCCCAGCATCAGGGTCTTTTCAAATGAGTCAGTTCTTCGCATCAGGTGCTCAAAGTACTGGAGTTTCAGCTTCAACATCAGTCCTTCCAATGAACACCCAGGACTGATCTCCTTTAGGATGGACTGGTTGGATCTCCTTGCAGTCTAAGGGACTCTCAAGGGTCTTCTCCAACACCACAGTTTAAAAGCATCAATTCTTTGGCACTCGGCTTTCTTTATAATCCAACTCTCACATCCATACATGACTACTGGAAAAACCATAGCCTTGACTAGACCGACCTTTGTTGACAAAGTAATGTCTCTGCTTTTTAATATGCTGTCTAGGTTGGTCATAACTTTCCTTCCAAGGAGTAAGCTGTAAAGTTTAGATGAGAGAAAATGGGAAAAGGTTATTTGAATCAGAGCACGATGCCTTCAATAAACTCTTCTGGCTAGATTAGTACTCAGAGCCTCTGTGCTAGGACCATGGTTCATTCACTGACTCACTAAATATTCATGAAGTTCTTTTAAGGCCAGAGTAGAGATATGGGAAAATTGAGTTTCACAGAAACTCATTCCCAGAACCCTGGGATCTCTCAGTTGCAGGGACAGAGCACAGATACCTTACCAGGTAAGGATAAGCCACTCCGGGGGCTCAGGTAAAGTCACTCCTAGGAATTTCCATCTAGTGCCAGGCAAAGACACAGGGAGTCCAGGGACAGGAAGATCTCGAGGCTGAGGGGCAGTTGCTGTTGCTCTGGGAAGTTGGTTTCAAGATCAGTGGTACAGGTCTCAGAGAAGCATGCTGGGATCAGGGTAGGGTCTTCTCCAGGGGGTTCCAGGAACAGGCATTTGAAAGCCAAGGCTCAGTTAGATGAATTGAGGCAGGAGCCTTGGTAGTGAGATCCTTGGCTCAGGGGAAGTCAGGGTTAGGCCTGGATACCACAGTGCCGGCAATGTGACAGATGTAGGGAAGAGGCTGGAGCCATTTCTATACCTGCTACTTAAGTTAGAACCCAGGACAGGATGGGCTATCCCTGTGGGAACACTGTAAGGCCTGGCTGTGGGAGCTGGGGACTGAAGCCAGGAAAGGAGAAGGACGCAGTCAAGATGTTCAATTCTGGATCTTAACCTGATCCTCATCTCCCTGGTTTCTGTTCCCCTTGGAGACTCTGGTCTCCAATGGGTAAAGAGGAGGTGTTCGACTAGTCCTGGGAGCACAGCTTATGCTCACAACTGACATTACTGTTCCTAAGAAGCCCCAGGGAGCCTCCCAGAAACATCTGCTGGATCTGAGGGGACCAGAGGTGCCTCCTTCTTTCCCTCAGTGTATGGGTTTGGTGTGGGATTTGCCAGTCTGGGAACCTGAGGACTCTGGGCAGTTCAGGCCTGGCAGATTTCCCCCACCTGCCTAAAATTCAGCGCAGGAGGGCAGAGGCCCCTCCCCAGGCCAGTGCTGCACCTCCCCTCTCCAGTCTTTGGAGCTGTGGCCTTTATTTCAAGTCCTGGTTCCCCAGGGGCTGAGTGGGGCATGAGAACAGCTGATAAGCCTGACATTATTGACTTTATGAGGAGTATTCAATGAATTTACTCTCTGCAAGAAGGCTGCACTCTTATCTGCTACCCACAGAGCATCTAAATCCTCATCTAGGGGACCCATTCATGAATCATGTCTCTTACAAAGACCAGAGAGTATAAAGAGAAAAAAGGGAGTCTCATTCCCACCCTTTTCTTTTCTCCAGTACCTGGCTTTGCCCACCCTCACTGCCCTTAGTTTCACACTGCCCTCTGGTTTATTGGCTGGAAATAGAAGCACTCACAGCTCCAGGCCTACAGAGTTGAGGCCAAGCCAGCCTGGTCTTGAGAGTGTCAGCAGCTGGGCACACTCAGGGCTGTGTGTGCATCCCCCTAATTGGTATCTAAGGGAAGAAAAGCCCACTTACTTAAGGCCGTTGTGTGCCCTGGTTTCTGCTGCAACTGTCAACATTTGCTCTAGACAGAAATGAAATACCCACCCAGCCTCAACACCAGGTGTCTTGGTGGCAAAATGTTAGGGCAGGCGGGGGGAGGTTACCAAGGGGTCTTGGGTCTAGGGAGCTGGAGAGTGAAAATTAACTGTAAGAGAGAGCCTGCTGGTCAAGAGAAGTTTTTCCTTCCCCGCCTCTGACATCTCCCTCGTCCTTCCAGCCCTGCGATGTTGGCTTCAGTTAGTGGAAGGAAATAAATGCTGCTTTAGTAAGTAACACAAGATCCAAAGCAACTGGAAGGAGAGAGGTGACAGCCAGGATTATGGGTTGAGCAAATGAAAGAAAAAAGTGCCGTTTGATTAGGGGGAATTAGAGGCACGTGTCTAGTTTTTGGGTAGAGTTTTCTGGTAACAAAATGATTGTTTATTGATCAGCTATGCTTTAGCATTTATTCCCAAGCATTAACTTTACATACATTAGTACCCTGAATCTTGCAATAACCCCTGAAGTTGATATATTCCCAGTTTACAGCTGAGAAAATTGAGACTGGGAGGAGTTAAGTAACCTGCCCAGCATGGCAGCTGGTGTTGGAACAAGAATCCAAATACCAGTCCGCCTCCTAAGTCTATGCCAGACTGCTTTCCACTTGGTATTCCTCAGTATTTTTTCCCACTTAGTCTACTGCATATCAGTGAATATTTATCACCCCCATTTCATAGGAAACAGGCTCAGAAGAGTATTTTTTTCCAATTTGACCAACTTTTGATTTCTTAAGCAAGTGGCCAATTTAATTAAGAATGTTACCTTGCAACAGTGAGCCTTTAAACCAGTTAACAAATTCCTCTACTTAAATCCAAACCAGTAACCTCATCATTGTGCTCATCCCAGGCAAGGCTCTGGGTTAGCAGATAGAAAAGAGGGGAGACAGAAAGAAAGGGCATCAATGAGACAGTTGAACAGTGTTAAACAACAGTGCAGGGAGCCTTTGCAAATCTGATTCCGATTGTGGAATCACAATCTCCCCACCCCTACCTTCTTTATTCAAACAGGGCTCCTCACGTGTAATCCAGTTGAGGACTATCGTCTGCTGCTTCTTAGATGCAGGATGCTTGGTAACAGGCTGTGGCAAGCTTCCAAGTAAGGGTAATTTTGTTTACAGAGTAATGTTATTTCTCCTCCTTTGTCAAGGAAAGTCACAGTGTGCTACAGGGGGAAAACCTGGTTCAGCAGGTTTGTTTCCTTCTGAATCGGTACCATTTTTTTTCCCTTTGTTGTTCCTATCTATAAGTATGCCCACGGCTACGAAACCTGTGAACGTTAGGAACTCTGGTCTAAAGATTCTAGCATCTTCACTTTCTGTCATGACTAGGGAATAACCTCAGGGAAGTCCCAAAATGATGATGAAAAGCCCAATCTCTCTTTTCTTGGGAGAGAAGACCAAAGCTCCCACCCCTCCCAATGGGCCATGTCAGTGTATTTCTCCCTTCCATGTGCCCTGGTTTCCCACATCACCCACGTTCATCAGAGAGGAGCTAGGTTCTTGTTCTGTTATTTTTCTATTTGGGGGATGTCAGAGGAGGGGTAGCAGGAAGAGTCTCAGAGGAGGGGTGCTCATCAGTCGGTTGCCCTGTGGGTCCTGTGAATGGAGTGACATTAACATCCATGAGAATTTATAGCCTCTGTTGGCTCTGGAAAGATGTTTGTATAAGTACTGCTAGTAATACAGTCAGCTGCATGTGAAGACTTGTTTCTTTGGGCATACATTTTAGTATTTAGGGAAATACCAAATTTATTTGGGAGCTAAAATATTGGGAGCAATATTTTGTTGGTGGCTCAGATGGTAAAGAGTCTGCCTGTAATGCAGGAGACCCAGGTTAAATCCCTGGGTTGGGAAGATCCCCTGAAGAAGGAAATGGCAACCCACTCCAGTATTCTTGCCTGGAGAATTCCTTGGACAAAGGAGCCTGGTGGGCTACAGTTCATGGGGTCGCAGAGAGACACGACTGAGTGACTTTCATTTTCACAATATTTTGTTTTGTCTAGGATAACAACTTGTTGTTAATGTAACTTTATAATGAAAATATTTAATTTTTCATAAAGAATGAGAAAATTGGGTGAAATGCCTAGCATGACACCTAGTACTTAGTGCTACATAAAGGATAGAGAGTTCAGTGTGTGGCCTGGAGTTGGTGCTTGATGCCACCCCCTTTGTCAAGCCATCACCCTCTCTCGGCTGTATCCTTATCACAGCCTCCTAGTCTCCCCACATCATTTGGCCCCCTCCATACAGTGACCAGAACGTTCTTCTCATTTCCTTAAACAGTCATTAAAGAAACTCCTTCCTTGGCCTTAGAAGCATTCACTTCACAGAAACAAGTTATGTGACTTCTGATGGAGAGCGGGGCAGGCTGGAGGCAACCGTTTGGAGAATGAGTCGTCACTGTCTTATGTTCATTCATTGAAAGCAAATAAACTGGAATGAGACTTGTTTTAAAGAATCCAAAATAGAGATGGGGGCTCCTTTAAGAAACCAAAGGACTCAAAGGAACTTAAATTCTCCAAATAAAATGTCACAGAAAGATAAAACCTATGACCAAAAGTAACACCCTCATACTGACAAGTTTAATTGTAAAAGAACAGTTTATTTGGAAAATGAAAATTTAAAAACAGGAGTTGTAGTATCATAAAAGAAAATGGAAAATGGAATTCATGACAAGAAGCATGGCAAAGAAGATCATTTTATGTTGACAAAGGGCACAGTCCTCTTAAGTCAATAAAACTTCCATGAGTCTTTATGTGTGAAATGCCTTGTATCTCAGGGTATAAAAACCTAAAGCAAACACTCCTGGAAAAACCAAAAGGAAGGAAATAGACACAAAACAGTAGAGGAAGACATTCATACAATTCTCTCTAACAGATCAAATAGACCCAAACTCCCATGAATATAGAAGATCGATTTGATGGATGTATATAAAAAATTTTATTTTTCAAACAGAGGATATACCTCCTTTTCTGTTATCTATGGGTCATTTATGGAAGCTGATCATATGTTTTACCGAAGAGAAACTCTCAGTAAATATCCCAAAGCAAAAACAATACAAGATATATCTTTGACTACACTACAAGAAAATTAGAAATTAATAGCAAGTGGTTACCAAAAAAATACCACAATAAGGAAATTTAAAAAAAAAACTCTCCAAAAGAAAACTTAAACATCCCATGTTAGAGGTTAATGGCAAAGATACTCAAGTGGAAGTGTAGGATGACACCAAAGATGCATCAGAAGAAAATTCATAGCCTGAAGTGCTGTTCTTATTAAAAAGAATGTAAACTAATGGACAATCTAAGAATGGGAAGTGGAGAAGGGACAAAATAAACACTGCAAATGAAAAAAAGTAAAACTTAGATGTAGAAAATGGAGTAGTTCTTGCTAGGAGGGAAAGGGGTGGGGGTGGGGCACAATGGCTAAAGAGGGGCCACTGTATTGTGACAGAGGGAAACTCAGCTTTTGATGGTAAGCACTCTCTACTTTTGGTAGTATCCAGGGAAACCTGGCGTGCTGCAGTCTATGGGGTCATAAAGAGTTGGACACGACTGAGCGACTGAACTGGACTGAACTGAACTGAACTGAAGTTGAAATGTATTATTGTACACATGAAGCTTATATAGTGTTATAAACCAGTTACACCCATTTTAAAAAGAAGATGGAACCTAGAAAGTCCAAAAAAATTTAAAAGAGATAGTATAAATTAATACATTAGAAAATGAGAAAAATGATGAACCACAGAGGTAGTTTTTTAAAAGAAAAATGGACAAGCTCGGGAAAGCTAATAAAGAAGAGAGAAGTCATGAACATCTAATATAAGGAATGAGAAAGGTGGTAAAGTAAATACTGAGATATTTCTGAGAACTTTGAATAACTGTATATGACACTTTATTAATGAATGTGAAAATGTCAACGTTCTCTATGTCAAAGTACCAAAATTAACTTGAAAGGTAGCACACTTGAAGGAACAAAACCTATCTAGGATTGACTAGTAATTTCTATTAACTGTCAAGAACCAGCTAATTCATGTGATGAATAAACTGATGGAAGCTTAACAATAAATGGATGGAAGGAGAGCTGGATGTATAACTGGATAAATGGAGAAAAAGATGGATGCGTTGGGGCCTGGATAATGCAGAATTAGGGACTGGGAAGGGGTTAAGATGAATAGGGAAGAAGAGAGTATTAAAACTGGATAGAGCTGATGCTTGACCTTCAGCCAAAATGACCTTAGCCCACAATCACCTGGGCTAACCGGAATCCCTTCTGAAAACCTCAGTTTGTTCTTTCCTGAAGCTGACATCCCCAGCACACAGGACTAGAGATCCAGCATCACAGGCTAATCCAGACAGATCAATTAAGTCAGCAGAATCAGAGAGGCTAACAAAGCCCGAGCCCTCCTAATGACCTAGTTCTCTCCCCAGCCCCCTAGTCCCCACCAGGACCCTGTCCCCACCTCCCTCCTGCAGGTGCAGTCTCTCCAGGGGGCGGTGAGAGCCATGAATAGTAAGGGTCTTAGCTCAAGCACACAGAGGCGTTTAGCTGCCCAAACCTAATCCCCCAATAATCGGATTATGTAAATTCCTACTTCAACCCCTTCCCCTGCAAGACCTCGCCCCTAAACTCTCTGGGACCAGGGAAGGAAGACACTGTGGGACCAGGCACTGTGGGACCAGGAGGGAAGACAGCACAGCAGGCTGAAGAATCACTGCTAATGGAATGCTGTACCAAAATGGTTTCCCCATTTCAAAAAATTATAAAACCAGCAATCACATGGAAGAAACTTCAGAGAAGAAACCAAATGTTGACCCTGGTTGCACTGTGCTGGCACCTCTGTGCTCCATTCTCTGCAGTCCTTATCTTTCCCTTTGTCCTGTCTCTCAATCCTGGTCCACTTGTACACAGACCCTGTTTTACATTTACTGTTGTTTCCCTTAGCCTCACATACTTCCAGTCTTGCTTCCTAGTTGCTGTGCTGTGCTTTGCTTAGTTGCTTAATCGTGTCCAACTCTTTGTGACCCCATGGACTGTAGCCTGCCAGGCTCCTCTGTCCTTAGGGTTTCTCCAGGTAAGACTACTGGATTGGGTTGCCATGCCCTCCTCCAGGGAACCTTCCCAACCCAGGAGTCAAACTGGGGCCTCTTGCATTGAGACAGATTCTTTACCAGCTGAGCTACCAAGGAAGCCCTCCACTTCTTTACAACTGTAGAATGTACCATTAAGAATATAGTACGTCGCAGGCTTTGGCTGAGAGGAAGGGTAATGTAGGTTCTTGGTTTAAATGCTAACATGTGCTCTATCAGGACTGAGGTAGGGTGGAAAAGCATGGGCACCCAGAGGCCCTGTGAGAAAGCAGTTCTCCTCAATGGCACACACAGACAGGCAGCAGGAAGGACAGATCAGGGCTGCTCGCTGCAAATACCGGAGTATGTTCCCAAAGGCCCCTTTGAGCCTGTGCATCATTGACCAATTCATTTTCTCCAGCCCATCCTCCAGTCCATCCTCTGACTGACTGCCACCAGAGTGAGCCTCGGAACCTGTAAATCTAAACATATCACTCTTATGTTAGAGGCACACACTTGTCTTCACATGGACTGCCCTCCCCTCCACTCCTGCATGTCTAATTCCTACCCAGCATCTCCCACTCTTGTACCCGGGTGACCCAGGCCTTGGGTTCTGTGCTTTAAATGGCCCTGCCCTGCTCTGGCCCCCCTCCTGTGCCCACCATTTACCTGCCCATTTCCCACATTCTAGACCACACTCAGGGTATCAGGGACCCCTGAATTTAGATCACACTCTGTATCCAGAACCCCAGCATTTCTGCTCAGATGGCCTTGAGTCCATTGTCAGAACCTACACAGGCTTTTTCCTTAGGTCCATGTGGGCTCGGAGTCCACGTTATACACCAGGCCCCTCACAGAGCAGGACAGCTTGAGGTGGGAAGAGAAAAGGGATGGGGATGGGTCAGGAGTCTCCATTTGTACCCTTTTCCTGGGTCCACAAATGTCAGAGGCAGCCCTGCTTCAAGGCCTAGTTTAAATGTCATCCTTCCCACGGGCAATTGCTGATCCTCTGGCTAGAATCTTTGCCT